CAAGTCACAAATCAAAAATATAAATACTTAATTTTATTTATATTAATCAGTTTACTGTATTTAGCATATAAAATATAATTGAACTGCATGTTATTTCAAAATAAAAGAAAATTTTCCAAATTTAACATAGTCAACCTTTAATAAATGCAAGTTGTTAAGTAAAGGTGTATATATAGAAAATAATATACATATAATTATATTAGACTGATCAAATTATATATACTTATAAAGTGTATAATATGCTGTATATTATTATCACAACAATAAAATGCCCAAGCATTATTTATAAATTCTTGTAATAGCCAAACTAGATTTTTGAAAACTTAAATTAATTAATATAAATTATAGTTTGTACTGAGTATATAATATAAAGCAATAATTTATAGCTAAATTTATTTCACTTAAAATCAAAAGAAGCTAGCATTTACAATTTGATGAAAGTCAATATAATGTATAAACTAATACATTTCATTTGTTTTGCAAAGTGTACCTGCTAGTGCTTTTCTTTTTTATAATTTAAAAATAGTCTGTATGATGTTCCTGCAAGTATATATAATGATTTTCCTTTTTCTAATCTAAGCTTATTATAGATAAAGTATGAAAAATCCAGTGTAGTATTTTTGCAAAGTGCAATAACTAATTATTTTCTCTACCCAATCCAAAATTATTAAAAAAACAAAAAAGATCAGTATAAAGTTCTTACAGAGTTTATTAAAAATACCAACAGCACAACAATGAAATCTAAACTAATCTACAGACAAATTTATATTCAGGACAATATAAAACCAAATATAGAATGACAATTACATTAACTAACAATATGAAAATAACAAAACCTAGAACAACAAAATTAGCTAACAAAAAACTCAGTAAAGCAATGATATAGAGCTACTACAAGTGACAAAATCCACTTTCAAAATAATACTAACAACAACATCTATACACGATATAAAATTAGCTAAATAATAGAATTTATACTCACAAGAATACCTAAATAGTAATAATATCTAAGAGATAAGTTTATACCAAGGCTCCAATGAGATGACAATATGAAATGACTACAAAACTAACATATTCATAAGTACCTAATAAAATAAAACAAAAGTTAGCTAACAAAAAAAAAAGAGTGATAATAATCAATAATAATCATTATTTATTTATTCTATTATTGTTTTGTTATATAGGAATACTAATATAAAAAATTTTAATATACTCCTAGGCATTGTTGTCATGTGACAGGAACACAGACAATGGACAGTCTGAAACAGAACATCCCAGACACGTTTGCCAAAATATTAACGTTCTGAACAATTAAAAATTATAATAAAAGTGTCCTTTTTAGCCAATGAGGATACTTGAAAAACTTTGTAATATAGGACACTATCACAGATATAAAACATTGTCCAAGACTGTTTGCATTCCTAAAATTTTTACAGGACAATATCTATGTATAACACTGCTCCTAGGATATATATATATTAATTCAAACAATAAAATAAAATTAAAAATTAAAAAATAAAAATAAAAAAATAAAAAAAATTAAAAAAAATTAAATAAAAAATAATAAATAAATAAATAAATAAATAATTACAAAAAATATATAGAAACAAATTAATTAAAAAATTAAAAATTAAAAACAAATTAAATAATTAATTACAAAAAATATAAAAAAAATTTTATAAAAAATTTAATAAAAATATAGAAAAAAATATTTATAAAAAAATTAATTAAAAAATAAAAAATTAATAAAAATATATATAAAAAAATCAAAATATTAAAAAAAATAAATAAAAATTATAAAAATATATAAAAAAAATGTTAAATTTTTATGGAGACCTATCTCTATAACAACCCTATATAATAGCCAAGTATATTTTAGAATTAATACAATTTTTTTTTATATATTTTTTATTTTTTATTATAAAATTTTTAACTAATTTTGATTGGCCAATAGTAAGAAACTTATTATAAATCTACATGCTCAATTTTGATTAGCTATTTATATAGGATCGCCATGGTGACTTGTCGCTATAAAATAACACTCAAAAAAAATATTTATAAAAAAAATTAAATCAAAATAACTCATAGTAATTATTACTACTTCTAGATATATTTAGAGTTAGGATTAGAAATTAGAAAATTATTTTTTTTTATATAATATAATATAGAGCTACTATAAGGGCCCAATAGAGCTCAATTTTAGTTTTTATAAAGTTTTTAGAGATCCTAAACATTTTTACTTAGAAAACCCGATCCTGTTTACTTAGTACGTTTTTGAGATATAGATATCTAGTAATAATTACCACTAGTTATAGTTAGATTAATTCTTATAAAAAATTATTTAAAAAGAAAATATTATCAGGGCACTAACATTTATTATCTAATATCTATTTACTATAGAGGCTTATCCCTCCACCCCAGCTAAGATATTTAGCTAGATTTAATTAGCTATAATTGTTTTATATGAGCTAAGGTTTTGCTTGACCTCTTACTTCTAAAATATTATCTAATAAATATCAGCACCCTTATTTCATAATCTGTATTCTAGACAAATTTGTCTGGAATTTTGAAAAGTATTTACAATTTTTTAAATAAAATTAAAAATCTAATATATAATATGCAGTTGTGTATAAACACTATGAGATAAACACTATGAGACAAAAATCATTTACTATTGGCTGCTAACCATGTGGATCTATATCACATGTTGATTATGACATCTTCTATCTATATTTATACTATATTGCTGTGTCAATTTATATTATTGCATGCTTTTTATTTAACAACCCATGCTACAGTGCTATTAGTTCTATTACTATGCTTTTGCTTACATGTAATATAACTTACTTTTTTAACCAGTTTATTTTTTTAACACTTAGAAATAATATAAACTTTTTTTATCTGGTTTATTTCTATTTTGCTTATAATAAACTAAAAAATCAAAGTAAAAAATTTTATATATTTATATTTATTTAGATATTGAAAAATTTTATAATTTAAGAATTACAAATTATCTATTTAAAACAGATTATTTAATTTACTTGAAGTCACAGCAATTAAATCAGTATAGAAAACTTGCTAACTTCTAAGTGTTTGCCAATTTTTTAACTGATAAGCCTTCTAAGTTTTTTTCGACTATTTGCCACGAAGGTGGTTTGTAAGTATTATTTCCAAAATTTTTTAAATATAAATTTTGTCTTCGACAAAAAATTAATCAAAATGCATCTTGCTAAAGAATAAAAATAGGAATCAAAATTTAATTCAATTTACTTTTAAGAAGAAAAATAATTAGAAATGAATAAATGCCTTCATTTAAATAAAAATGAATTTTACCAAAGAATAGGAATTAAAGAAATAAATAATGACTTTATTTGAATGAAAATTAATTTTGCCAAAGAATAAGAATTAAAATTTTACACTATTTTTTAAAACCAAATTTTTGTCAATACAAAATTAGAAATGAATAAAAGCTTCATTTGAAAGAAAATGGATTATGTCAAAGAATAGAAATTAAAATTTACAAGCAACAATTAATCGAAAATAATAATCTAATTCAAATAATAAAAGAAAGTTTGGTTAAATATTTGTTACTGAATCTTATTATTCCTGAAATCTATGACTTAGAGTGCTCTCAAGCATCTTCCTGAGTGTGATTAAATAGTGATTAAGATGATACACAATAATTACAATCAATAAATATAAAGATTGTGATTAATGATTGAGTGAGCTCTTTTAATATTATGATTATTATGTCTCCAACAAACAATAAAAAAGCAACCATTCAACAAACAAAAAAAAATATTACCATTATTGGCAATTTTACATGTATCTGTTCCAACTACTACAAGTGTTTCTGCTACTTCTTTATCAATTCCAAATAGTTTTATTATCTCTTTGCCTAATTACAATACTCCTGTTGCTTTTTTTACAGATTTACATATGCTGTTACAACAATATTATTCTTTTGCGCCACTATTTAATCTCTTAGTTTTAATGAACTAATCTATATATATTATATATAAGATTTTTCAAAACATATTCATTGTGAAATAGTTGAAAAGAGCAGCCTTCTATGGGTCAAATTCTCTGACAATTTCAAAAGTATGGCTGTGTTGATGAATTATTTTCACTTTAAATAAACATTCTACATACTTTAAATTTATTATAATTATTAAGACATCATTAGCAAATATTAATAAAATCTTGATCTCTGATTTCAACTTGTGTTGTATTTTTTTGAACTAGTTGACAACCCTGATCGTATTTAAACATTTTTTTATTAGTGCCTACTCAAGTAATATAGAGGCGGGTTGCCCCCTTCTTTAATAATTTCATTACTGTAATCGCTCACGCCAAGAATAAAGTTATTATCATTGTTACATATTAAAAAGTCAAATTTACAAAATTTTCTTTGATTTTTGTATTGTACTTAATAAACAAGTTTTTATACTATAAGTTACAAGATAATTATATAATAAAAAGATTTACAAAATGAAATTGAAGTATAAAACTTTGTTTTTATTTATAGATCATTTAAATTTTAAGTTGTTATATGATGTATGTAATCTAGAATTGGTGTTATGTGATCAAAGTGGCCAATTAGAGAATTCTGAATATTTTCAGATAGAAAGTTGGTGAACACAAAAGACAAGCACGTATTTCTGAAATTAATCTTAATTAAGCTTAAATTGAAAAAGGTGTAAGTAAAAATATAAGTTAAAATTTCTGAAATTAATCTTAATTAAGCTTAAATCAGGGAAAAGGTGAAAGTCGGTAATTGGTAATTGATTGTTGTCACAATATGACACAATATAATGTAAGATCGATTGTATAATATAACTAACGATATAACAATACAATAAGTTATTTTAAATTGGAAATATTCCAAATTTTTTTTCACTTTTTTTCACACAATACAATACGATCGATACAATTATACAAAAATGATATTATAGCTAAGGTGGTTAGAGGTTAGAATATTTATTTTTTCACAGATTCGAATGTATCAATTATGCAAAGATGATATTATAGCCAAGGTCAGAATTGAATAAATGTATCAGTAATGAATAGCCCAAGTTTAAAATTAAAATTTGAATTGTTTCAAAGACTGAAGAAGTTAAGAGTTGAGCTATGAAGTATGAAGCAATATAGTTAAGGTGTGACGATGAAGTGAACTAACAAGTGACAAATCAATCTATATATATAAAACGAACACTACATTCCTTTAATTTTTACCATTATATTACTGAACTGAACTGGCCATTTTTTAACAACAAATAAAGATAAAAAAAAAAGATAAAAAAAAGCAAAAAATTAAAAAAAAGAAAAAAAAAGCAAAAAAATTAAAAAAAGATTAAAAATTAAAAAGGCTGTTTGGACTATTTGATAATTAATAACTAATTTATTCCCGATCACAAAATTTTGATTGGGATAATTAGAATTTGACTTCAATTATTACATTTTACCACCATTACTCGGCCAAACAAGAGAAGATAGCAACTTAAAGCTGCTAGGGCCAAGAAGTATACAAAGAAACCACAAGAACAATCAAATTATAAGGATCTGGTTTGGTCAGATCAGAACATTGATGAAAGAGCATCTGATTATTTTTCCATTTTACTAATAGCTAGTAAAAACAAAGATACCTGGAAACCCTTAGGCAGGCCTTTAGCATATATTGGAGGTTCTAAAAGAACTTAGAGATGCAAAAGAACGGAGCTAAAGAAAGCTGCACAAAATACTTAATCTATCACAGCCTACTTTGCTCCTGCTTTAACGTATTCTAATATTGTTTTGGCTTCGACTTCTACTTGCAAATCATTAACAGAATTACATGCTTTAATGAAAGTGGAATCAATAGAAGTGGAACCAATAGGAATGGAATCAACAGAAATGAAATTAATAGAGATGAGATCAACAGAAATAGAATTAACAGAGATGGGATCAACAGCAGATGTATTAGAAAAAATAGATATTGATAAGATGACAAAAATATGGTTGGCAATTGAGGAGTTAGATAGGATGTTAAAAAAGGATAATAATCAAATGGATAAAGGTGTAAGAGTTCATTTGCAAGCGTCATTGCAATATTTATACTTAAGATACCAGGGTTAGACTAGAATAAGTGCAAGCATAACGATTGCTAGTTCATTAGGATGGGGCGATTATAAAGTACAATGTATTAGTACATGGGCTCAAAATTGAATAAAGCGGCGAAACCTTCCAAAAGATAACTGTGGTAAATTCGCAAAAGTATCAAGCCTTCTTGATGATGAGAGAATATCCATGAAGGTATACATTTTTTTATAGCGATTTTGGCTATAATTTTTAATTTTTTGTTGTAACTTACAATTATCACACTTTGAACAAATAATGTCATATCTAAGAAGTCACAAGTTTAGTGTAAATCCTAAAGTTTTAAAGAACTACGTTGAGAATGAAGTATTTCCGTCTTTAGGTGTTGAAACAAAGACAACCATATGTAAGAAAATGGCTTGGATATGGCTTAGAAAACTTGGATGAGAATATAAAGAATAGAGAAAGGATATCTATGTAGATAGATATGAGCGAGAGGATGTAGTACAATATAGATAAATGATTTTTTTGCCGATAATAAAAGAATTGGAACCTATTCTTCTTAAATATTGTGACAAAGATCTTTTAAAGCTACTAGAAAAGGATATTCCTCCTAGAGAAAAGCGACATTGTGTAATAACACATGATAAAACAACATTGTCTGCAAATGATAATGAGAAAACAGGATAGGGGCCCAAAGATATATATATTAGAATCGTTAAAGATTAGATTTATTTTTTATTTGCTAGCTAACTAACCTTACATCACTTTTATTAAGGCGAATACAAATTGCGTCCAAAAGAACAAGGCAGGGAATTCATGTTAGTGAATTTTTTTGTGAACCACTGGGTCGAGTTTATTTAACTAAAGAACAACATGCAGCCCATCCCGAAATTTCAAAATGTTATGTTACGGAGTTGTTGGAAATTGGCACAAACTATGAAGGTTATTGGAACATTAAATTGCTAGCTAAGCAACTTAAATGAACAATCGATATTTTGGAAATTGCACTTCCGGATATAATATTTGTCTTTGGATTCGATAACAGTACCAACCATGGAGCATTTGCCGAGGATGCACTAATAGCAAGAAATATGAATATTGGCTATGGTGGTAAATAACCGAAACTGCATTCTGGTTGATTTTCTAATGGTACACCACAAGAAATGGTCTTCCATTAAATCACCAAGACGAAAAAAAAAGATGACAACTAAAGGGAATTAAAGAAGTAATGATAGAAAGGAGAATATGGAATAAGCAATTAAGAGACAAATTTGTTAAGTGCTCAAAAGATAAGGAAATATGTTGCAACATGAAAAAATTGGCAATACAGCTAGACTTCATGGAACAGAAAAGTATTCTTGAGGAAATTGTGCTCAAACGTGGTTATAAAATTTTTTTCTATCCTAAATTTCATCCAGAATTAAACTATATTGAATATTGGGAAGCGGTAAAAAGATATGCAAGAAGCCATTATAATTATACTTTTCAAGGATTAAGAAAAACTGTACCAGAGGCTCTTGATTCTGTTGATATTATAACAATTAGAAAGTTTGCAAGGAAAGCGCAGAGGTATATGAATGCATATAGAAAAAGTTTAACACCTTCTGCTGCTAAATTTGCAGTAAAAAAATATAAATCACATCGAAGAATTTCTGAGAATATTGAATTGTAATACCATATAACAATAATAAATAAACTGCAATTACAATGCATATTCTAAAATCTTGTATTTAATTATTTATTTCAACTATTTAATTATTAATTAGTTTAAAATTTAAAATTTAACATATGAACTATTAAATGTCTAATGTATACATATTTATTAATTGAACAATAGCAAGCTTAAGATATATGGAATGATCCAAAACAGAAACAAATATTTCACCAACAATCATTTCACAGATACCCATTTCACCGGCAACTTTTCATTAACATGTTCATTTTATCTACAGTTTATTTTACCAAAATTCATTTCACCAACAAGTTTTTTTTTATAACTAACTCTAATTTTAACCTAACCTTAATGATATTGACCAGAATAAATGTAATTGCCAGTAAATGATTGTTAGTGAAATGTGGTGTCTACGAAGTGATTGTCAGTGAGTTGATCATATCTTATTCTCAAAGTATTAACATAGTGAAAGTTTGCATGAATATATCCTTAAATATAAATCCCATGAAGTATCTATAAGCTGTTTTAAGAATTTAGTTCGCTCAATAAGGTCTTGAAATTTTTTTTCAAAACTTACATTATCACATATTAAGCCACTATGAGATCCGATCAACTTACTGATAATCACTTTGTAGACACCATGTTTTACTGACAATTATTTACTAGCAAGTTCATTTCTCCTAACAGTTTATTTCACCAAAGCTCATTTTATAGACAAAGTATGTAATTCTGGTCAATATTATTAGGGTTAGGTTAGAATTAGAGTTAAAGCTATAAAAAAAAACTTGTTGGTAAAATGAATTCGATAAATAGACTATAGATAAAATAAGCTTGTCAATGAAAAATTGTTGGTGAAATGTAGTATTTATGAAGTGATTGTCAGTAAAAGAATACTAAACTGAAAAGGTTAATTAAAAGACCTTCTGATGGATATAAGATCATACTGTCATGTAAAATCAAAGAAAATCAGCGGGTTTTTTGATTCACTAAAAATTTAAAGATTTTAATCAATTTAAATATCACTAATTAAAAATCATAATTTATGGTAATTTAGAATCTTATTCTTATCACACCTTCTGCAACTGCCATAAAGGCATTTAGGCAGCAATCAATAGGAATCAGCAAATAATCTGTCTGATTCCTATTGACATCAGTCCATTTATTTAAAATGTGCTATATTTAAATCATAGATTTCACTTAATTGAAATTGATTATTTTTTAACTTATATGGATTTTATCTGAGTAATTTGACATTTTTTTATATGGGTTTAATTACTACATGTAAACAAGCAATTGTCAAGAAAAGAATAATTATGCATGTATGCATACGTATTATATATATGTATATATGCAAATATAATGATTATAAGGTAACTAGATGTCTAAATCGTTATTATGTTTGGTAAATTATTATATTAAATATAGTGGCCAAATTCTGGTATTAATATTAAAATGTAACAACTTTAGCAGTAAATAAATTCAGATCTAGTATATTTAAGTAAAAAATCTTTTTGTAGTATTGTAGTACTAGTTCTATAATATCATTTTACAAGAAGATTTTTTTAAATTTATTTATTTTTTTGTTAATTATTAACAAATTTAAAAGATATATATAAAAAAGTCACATGACACCAATTCTAGGTTATACATACCATACTATATTCTATGATTATGCATCTGTTGAGTGGTAGATCATCAATTAAATATATATATATATTTTTTACTTTCTTTTTTTAGATAGTATTGTTTTCTTTTATAAATGTGACATATCTTTTCTTTCTTTATAAAAAAAGAGATAAACTATTCTGTTTGGATCTAGGTGAAAATAGTTTAAAAGAAAGAATAAGTAGTTTTGATAGGCCAGTAGGAATCTTTTAGTAAAAATTTATTTTTTTTAAATACAGAAGAGAATTTTTTGGAAAAAAATCCTGCCTATAGCAAGTCACATAGGTAATTTCACTCTGGTCACAAAAAGCCAAGTAAGCTAATACTTGTAATTTAAGTAGCATTAGGGTTTATATTTTTTAAAAATTTTAATATATTATAGTATAATATTATAAAGCTTAATAAAGTAAAGAAAAGACTGCTGAATTAATTTAAAAAAAATTGATACTATATATTTCTAAATATAAGCTACTATTTTTGGGCAAAAAATTACACAAAAATTTCAGAAATAGCTTATTTTCAAGTAATAGAGGTTTTTGACTATTTTTTATTAAGTAAAAGTAGTTTCTATATATGTAAAAGTAGTTTCTATATATAAAAATCAAAATTGTACTAAGTAAATATATATTTTGAACATAATAGAAGTTGTTTAGAATTTAAAAATACATATATTATAAAAGTTTTATACAATTTGAATAACTTTTTATTAATACACTTTTACATTTTAAATTTAAATTTAAAATGCAAAAGTGTATTAATAAAAAGTTATCCAAATTGTATAAAACTTTCAAAATATATATATTTTTAAATTCTAAACAACTTCTATTATGATATTTACTTAGTACAATTTTGAAAAATTCGGAAGTTAGCTTATTTTCGAATAAGAAAAAATTCTTGGTTTTTTGCTCAAAAGTAAGAGAGTAGCTTATTTTCGAAATAGCTTATTTTTGGTAATTCACCACTCAACAAGTGCATAATCTTAGTGTAATGTGATGCGGTTTACTATATCTTTAAAAAACATTTCTTTAACTATATAAACTTAATTAAAACAGTACTATTGTTTTTCTAAGAAGTTTACATAGTTAAAAAAATCTTTTTAAAGATATTTTGGTATCTACAAAACCAATTTGGATAATTTAACTACTATTAGAACTATAAAGATAGCTCTACAACTTTTAATTAATTGACAAAATTAATTACCTTAGTACAAAAAAAGTTTATCTTGTATGATTGCTATATTTGCATTATAATAAATTTATATAGTAAACTGCATCATATTATGAGTGGCAGATTATTAATTAAAAAATTAAATAAATTAATAGATATCTGTTTGCTATACTATTTTTAGAATATTTAATATTTCTGCTTTGTATTCTAGTATATTAACTAAATCTGTAAGTGTATTGTATCAAAAAAGATCTTTTAACAAAAGGCTTTATAACTTAATTCTTTCTACTAGTATTAAACTAAGGACTGTTTACTACAAGTCTTGCACTGTCAAGAATAACCTATACTTTTCATTAATTAATACTTATATTAAACTAATACTATACTTCTTAATTTTTTTTTATATCTCATCTAAAGTTCAATACTATATTAAATAGTTTGTATTTTTTACTTTATTATCTTTGCAAAAGCCTCAAAATAAATTCAAGTACACTGCAGGTTTTTTTTATATAGGATATTCTTAGTTAAGAATATTTGTAACAGGTTTTTCACATATCCAATTAATCTATAACTTCTTTTTATTAAATTACATCCAGTACTTTTATTTTCTTTAAATCTTTCTCAACAGTTACCTCATATCAGATCTTTTGCTTTCTCATTCTTGCTATGTAAATAAGCTTTCTTTTATATATACTAGAGGTTTCTAGTTCTTATACTTGTAATTTGAAGTATAAAAAATCTTATCAGAGAGTATATTTGTTCACTTTGTCACTTTATATTAAATGGCTATCTAGATTAGACCTGGTCTGGGATTATCTAGTCCTTACTTAAAGCTACATCTTTTTTTATTAGCTTATCTGCTATTTTATTTTACTTAATATTACTATATACTTTAACCTAATTTAAATTTAATTTAAACTTTTTAAGCTGAATTGTTTCTACTATTTTGTTTACAATCAAATAGTTCTTTAATTTACTTAACACCTTGAAGCTTTTATTTTTATTGCTTTCTGAATACTATATATTGCTACTTTATTATCTGTATTAACTAAAACTATACTATTTAAGCAGACTATTAATAATATACACCAGGTTGCTATTGTTAAAAAAACTTATTTTTCTAACTTTATACTATCTTTAGTAACTTTTGCTTCAATTTGCTCTGCACAGATTTGTATTCAGA